GTTGATGGGAGAGCTCATCTAATCTCGTTGCAGAGACAGTGACTGAGGGTACTCGATACCACGGCTGTACTACTGTTACCAGGCGTACCGAAGCAGCGCAAGCGTCTCATCTGATTTCATGACTGGATAAACTAGGGTCCGGGGGAGTGGGCTGGTAGGAACGATGAAATCATATGGATTATGCCATGTTGTCGGCGACTTTGGCCATCACGTCGTCGTCGGTCACGTCCATCGTCGTACGAGGTGCTCGGAACCGCTCGAAGCCAGATGATGACAATGGGCATGCAGCAGCGTTCCAATTCTGGATGAGGGCGTGGCGAATCACATCCAAAGCCTCGAACTCGGGCGGTGCCCCCGTGAGAAAGTAGCTCGCAAGATCGAATCGCAGCCGTAGAGCCGCAATCTTTGACCGAGTTGCGGACCGCTCGAAGGGACTGAAAGGCACGGCGGAGCCCACCATGCTCAAAATGCGCGACACCCGTGCGTTGATCTTCTTTGCCTGTGAGCTGTGCGGGTTGTCCCAAATGAGTTGTTGTCGAAATTTGGGCGAGTTCGCAAGCTTGCCGAGTTACTCCAGCTGCTTCGTGAAAGTTGCACCAATGCGCGCCGTCTGGCGCACGCAGGCGTGTCGTTGCAGCTGGTTGAACGCCGTGGCAATGAAGAGAGGATTATCGAAGCGGCCGTCGTAAAAGCGGAAGAAGTGACGCAGTAGCGCTGGATTCATGCTTCCTTTTGGAGCTCCTATAGTATAGAGCAGCATGAACGCATTGTTGTTGGATGCATTGTGCCATACCTTTGCCGAGCATAAACAAATGGGGGAAAACACATGCCATGAGCGCGTCGTTTAATCATCACTCGCAAATTGGATCGTCGTCGCTCGTGACGACAGCCACCAACGGGTCGCTAGTGCTGCCTGGAGCTTGGTTATCAACGTCCGTGCTACCAATGTGCGGCGACCGGAGGACATCGACTTGATCGTCGCTTGTATTGACATGCCTGTATTGGTCGTCATCAGACGCGCGCTCGGTCACTAGCCCAGCGACAGCCTCAAGCGCGTTGATGATTTCGTCGTCGTCGTCGGCGACATCCGGCCCATCGCAAACCTCGTCGTTGTCGATGGTGTCGTCTGGGCACACAATGTCGCAGAATGCATCAAGGTACGCATTGACTGTCTTGTTGACGGCAGACACTTGGGCGAGGACAGCCGAGTATTCGAGACTTGGAACCGATGCGATCCGGTCATATGCAGTGGCCGGTTGCGTGGTGCGTGCAACGAGAGTGCCTCGTTGCACGAGGCACATGCAGCGATGCGCCCGGATCCGGCATCTCGCTGGCGTCTCCTGACAGCGTGCAGCGTCTGCCTGACCGACTGTATCCCCAACAGCTCGCAAGATGCGCTCGCAAACTGCGTGACCACCGGGGCCGTTAAGTGACTCGTCGTGGCACACATGAGCGTCGGGTTGCCCGAGCAGAAATGAAAGGCTGCGATCGCTAGTTTTGGGTGCTTGGTAAAGTTTTGCGACGCTGCGATCTTCAAGCCGCACGGCCATTTCTCCGTGCGTCTCGGTGGCCTTCTCGACGGCGCGCGCAGTGGTTTTGCTAAGGCGCTGCTTTTCCAGCCGAGCTGCTTTCTCTTCGTGCGTCTCGGTGGCCTTCTCGTCGGCGCGCGCCTTGCGCTTGCGCTCATTCGATTCTCGCATGTTGCTTAAATGTCTAGCTACATGGCTGCATGGCGCTTAGTAGCAAGAGCGGCCGGTCAATGCACATCATGGCGCCGGCCTGTCAAAACGCATCAATGAATTGTTGCGAGCTGTCCAATCATTTTACGCAAGCAACAACATTTTAACCAATCCAAATTGGGACAGACAAACAAACAAACAGGCAAATAATCCCTGGTGGGCTGGCTGGGTAACCAGGAGGTTCCTACCAGTATTAGTTGACCGTTGCGCTTGGATGCCATGCCCACGTACGCCCATGTTAAATTGGAGGCGTGACAAATTCGTGGGATGGGAGGTTTCTGGTGCC